CATCCAAGGCAGCAGCAGCTCTCGCCACTCCCACGACTTCAGCGACTACAGCTTCATCCCAGCGACCGAGAAGCAACAGGTCCCCACTTCCGCGCAGCAGAAACAGTGCTCCATCGGCTCCAGCTCCTAAGACCACCAGTGCTGATTCAGTTACAGAGTCGTCCTCGAGAAACACTCAGCCACGTCCGAATCCACAGGCATACCCACCGCTGATCCTGCTCCCCAACCCACAGTCAGACCCGTGGAGGAGAGAACTTCAGGTACTTGCCTCGCAGCACGTCCGACGGGATCCCGGTTAATCAGGAGCAGCTGGACTATGTGGCCGCCACCCTAAATGCAGCAGGAGTACCGTCTCAGCACTCCACTTTGGCCTATGCGAAGGTCAATTCGGACCATCACTACTCCAAGATCACTCCACACTGGTTCATGCTGACCGTTCCCTACCTCGGCGCCACAGTTAGGCTCAAAGAACCAACGAAGACGCGACCCATGCTGCTCTGGACTCACGCTTCCAGTATTGGTGGTACTCGCGGCATCTTGCGGACCCGACAGATCCATCCTTCCCGGCAACACAGTTCGGACTGCCCAGCCCTCTCACTCGGACCTGGGCATCTACGCCATCTACAGATTGTCCGGCAATGTGGAACAGCCTCATCGACATCGAGTTCGCAACATTCTTCGTCGAGTTCTTGATTTTCGACAACTACAGCAACCCAAGCTCACTGAACATGCTCCTACGATTACCGTGGCTGTCTCATCCAGATTATCAACGGACCACCAGAGAAGTCCTTCGTCGTCTCGTCATCGACCACCGCAACTGGGCCCTTCCCTTCCACTTGCCGAGCACGAAGCTCGCTGAGACTCCTCATCCCCGAGTCCACACAGTCATGTGGAACTACTCGCCATTTCAACCCCTTGACGTCTTCCGGGCAATCATCGTGCCAATGCGACACCTGGCTCAAAAGTCAGCCCTGGCTATCCCATGTTCAAGGTCATGTGGCAGCAGGATTAGATGAGTTCCGGTTTCCTGGTACGCCCCATCACGCTCACTACACCTCAGCGCTGGCGTCGTACTATGTGGACTTCGCGGTCTACGAAGTGCAAGTTCACGAACGCCTACGGAAATGGTGCTTGCATCACGGACTCCCGCTGGACCAGTTCCACGCCCCTCTCATGGAGCACCTTCGCAGCCAATTCCAGCAGCATCGGAAACATGCACGCACTCACCAGCTCCTTACCAAGCATCAGCTCAACATCCTTCATCGACACCTTGGTCAAGACTTTGTATGCCACAACGAAGATCATGACAACCACCACCTCATGTTCTTCTGTCCTCAACTCTACTTCAAGGGCCTCCACAATACCTGGCTTCAGTCCAGCACCTTCGAGGCCACTGCACTGAGGCCCGATCAAGCAGAGGCCATCATTCTTGAGAAGACCACCTCCATCCCGGTTGGAAAAGTCTTTCTCAAACGGAAAAAGCAGTGGAAGTCGGGTCGCACCATTATAGCATACCACAAGGTGGTGCACCGGCTACTTTTCAAAGCAGTCGCCATCCTTCTCGGCGAGCTTGCCGCTGACACATGGAAACGCTCATGGGGTATACACCCCACTCCACGCATATGGCAGAACATCAAGCAATACTTTGACAACACAGACGATACAGTCACCCTGGCCTTCCACAATGACGACTTAGTAGGCTTCTTCAACAGTGTTCCTCAAGACCAGGTGTGTGCAGCGGTTGCGCAACTACTCGCCGAGCAGCCCAGTTCCATGTACTCAGTGGAAACGCATGCACACAATCGGGTGTTTGCGGGCAAGCAATCCTACGGACGCACACCGACCACGCGCATCATCCACATGGAGGACATCATGACCATCGTCAAGTCCAGCTTCCAAGGCATGTATGTTCAAGTGGGGACCCTCATCATGCGCCAAGTCCATGGCACAGCAATTGGCTCCCAGCTCAGCCCGGTACTCAGCCACATATGCGTAGCAAGGCACGAAGTCATCTGGCAGCGTATCTATGGACAATGGTACACCAGTCACAACGTCTTCTTGGAAAGGTATGTGGACAACCGGTTTGTCATTTTCCCTTCTCCATCCTCAGGTCGCCCCGCGCCCCCACTGGAGGCACTGCTCCAGGCTGACTTCTACGGTGCCCCCATCGTGCTGGAACAAGTGGGGTCTTCAGAGTTCCTCGGCTTCGTCATCGATGTTGGAGGTCCATTTACTACAAAACCCCTACAAGAATCTGGCAGATAAGAGGACCTCCATCCTCCTATCAGGAGCTCGGTCACGGTCAGCCCTTGCCACCGTACGCGTATCCGGCCAGGGCAGTACAGATGGCGCTGGATCTATTTGTCCGCAGGCTACAAGTCAGCTGACCTGCAACATCTGTTTCACCTACCGGCGACTCCAATACGAAAGAATCCTCAAGCGCCTGCCTTTTTGGTTCTTTACTCTCATGTGTCCGCGTTTGTTTTTCTTGTTTCTTGATGTCCGTGTTGACCCTTGTGCTCAAACACTGGTTCAAGCAGTGCTGCACTTCCTGCGGACCTCCGCGAGCTGTCGCCATGCTCGGCCGCATGATAGCGCCTCATCGCCGCATGTCTCAGAACGCTGGTGACATGATGCAGCTCATTCAGGAGACCTTGAACCAAGCTGACGAGGCACACAGTCGCAGGCACCGAGACGGGCAAGGTCGCTGGCAGCAATATGTCCACGGCCGATCGCTGCCCGAGCCATCATGGCTACAAGCACCTGCTCCTGTTGGAACCGATGAGGTAACCCCACCTGGCCCGAAGATGCCGACTCGAGTCAACCCAGCATCCGACCGACCCTCCACCACCTGCCGGATTCCAATCAGCTCAGCCACACGCAGAGCACAGGAGGAATGTGGCGGTCAACCCCAAGTCGCTGTCCAATTGCATCATCACGGCGGACACCAACGACCCTACAGATCTGCGTTCGAAGAGCCCCATCACATGGCGCACGATTACGTTGGTCAGCCGGGCTTCAAGAAGTTCCTCGCTCTATCATGGAGAAGGGTGAGGCCGATCGACGCAGAACCAAGCGAAAAGCAAGGCCGCACTACCGCCGCAGCCTTCAGCACGTCCAGCACCTTGTACTCCAGCTCCAGCTCCAGTCTCTCCCTGTCCTGGCCTGGTATCCTCTCCTGAATCTGTTCCTCAACCTCCGGCTCACGCTCGTCCCGACGCCGGCAACCCTGGAACTCCCCCGGAAGCACCTCGTGCCTGGACAGAGGAAGATGACCAGCAGCTTTGCAGCCTGAAAGCGGACATACAAATCGCTGGCTCAACAGGTACATCGCGGATGTCACGCAGGCCTGGAAGAGCTTGGAACGCCTCAGGAAAGCTCGGGAACAGCATCAGAAGACTACCTGAACGTGTCCAACACAATTTGTCCTGTCGTCTCCGGTGATACAGTTGCACAGCTCTACCACGGACTCGGGGCATCGACTTTTTGAACTCCAGATGGAAGCAATGCGTCCCCTCGACCACAACCAAAAAGTCCGCAAACAGTCGCCGCCGGTGTATGTCTTGGCATGGCTTTGTTTGGCCCTTGTTTAAGAAACTCGGCTTTTTAACACTGTGGGATACACGCGCGTCCCTGTGCCTCCACCAACGACCAGCAGCCATTTCAATTGCACAGCTCGCATCCAGTCATCGCCTCCGTGATGTTCGGTTTCGTCCGTCACGCACAAACGTGGGTGGAGTACAGGCGCGACTACGAGAGCAATGAGGATTTTGTCACCTCACCCGGTCCCGGAGCCCCATCCTGAACCTGGGTCAAGTCCACATCAAGGGAATCAAGGAAACCAATCAGCGCTTCAGGCGAACCCCCAGCACCAAGCACCTCTTCTCCCGGGCAGCGGTGGTCATCGTCAGCCGTATCAGCTTGGTACAGCGCATCAGGCATCAGCCACCACGCCGGCACCGGCAGCAGCACCCACAGCGGCGGAGATCATAGCGTCAACTATGAGTACGGCCCCATCGTCACTCTCACCATCTTCGATGAACCAGCTCCAGCCATTAGTACAAAACCCGGCACCCAATTCGGCGGCCTTCTCGGCCACTCCCCCAGGATCTGCAGCAGCAGCTACTGCGACCCACCCATCCTCGGCATCAGCACCTTCGGCCCCGGCACCCTGGAGACTCGGACGTCACGATCATCATTCAGACGCGCAGGCAGGAATTAAAAAGTGACCAAATCCCCCATCGAGCATCATGATGGAGGCGGTTTCCTGTGTTTTCCCCCTGCGGGGTGTGTGTGTGTGTGTGGCCCCCTGTTTCTAAGGGGTTTCCGCTGTCCTTTTGTGCTTGGAGTCGGACACCACCTCCCTGCATGATCAGGCGTGTAGTAGTCAAGCAGGTGATGGCGTCCCTGAAGAGGAAGCCTGCTTGACGAACAATGTCCTGACTTGCTCGGAGCCGAAACTCCACTTTTCACCTTTCAGTTGCTTGGGGATGCGCCTTGGCAGTTTCGCCGTCTCATATCAAGTGTGTGCGTGCGTGTGTGTGTGTGTGCGCGCGCGTGCGCGCACTTGTGCGTGTGCGTTCGTGCGTGCGCGAGCGCGTGCGCAAGTGCTCGTGCTCGTGCGCGTTGCGTGCGCGTGTGCGCGCGCGTGTGTTGGTTGTTGTGCTGGTGTGTTTGCGCGCGTGTGTGCGCTTTGTGTGTTTCTGTTGTTGTTTGTTTGTTTGTGTGTTTCTGTTTTTGTTTGTTTTATTGTTTGTTTGTTTGTTTGTTTGTTTGTTTGTTTGTTTGTTTGTTTGTTTGTGTGTTTGTGTGTTTGTTTGTTTGTTTGTTTGTTTGTTTGTTTGTTTGTTTGTTTGTTTCCTCTTTTTGTTCGCGTTTGTGTGCGCATTTGTGTGTGTGCGTTTGCGTGCGAGTTTGTGTGTTGTATGTGTTTGTGTTTGTGGGCGTTTGTGCGACGTGCCCTCAAAATCGTCTTGCTTGAAGGCTCTATCTTTACAAGCCTCCATCTACTGCCGCCGCAGCCGCCGCGCCAAGGTTTGCAATCGTCTGACAGCCTGCCGCCAGGCGCAAACATCATACCGCAACACGCAAGCCAAAGCACGCGCTGCACAGGACGCTGCTGTGGGCCCGGCTCCCTCTCACAGCGCAGCTCAAAACCCCAGCCTCAAGCCAACCTTGTAGACACACTCTGTCGCGTTCAGCCTTGCATCTGGCACGTTGGGCCAAAAGAGAAGCTGCGCGGTTGATGATCATCATGAACACCTGTGAATTGATTGGCTCCTTTCGCGCAACTCTTCTCACAATCGTCCCTCACTCTCTCGTCTCAAGCTTGTGCGGCAGACGCGGAGTGACCTTGCCGTTTCCCTTGCTGTCTCTGCAGGTGAAACGCCACTCCGGCCATGAGCGCCAGGGTTCTTGCTTTCGCCTTTCACTGCTCTATTTCCAGGCGTCGGCTCACGCCAGGAAGATTTTTGACTTGGCGTGATTGAGTAGTGTTCTTGAAGACTTTCCGCCTAAGAGCCCGACGAAAAGAGCGATGGGATTCATCGTGAACTCGCCGGAGTACCTCACGGTGCTTCGAAACGCTCGTGCAGCATGTATTTGTAAGGGACAGAACAAGTGGGTGCGAATCTGCATGTCTCACGCGCTTGGCACCAACAGCAAGACAACCCAAGGCATGGGTGTTATTGTCACAACAAAGGCTCGTTGCTGGCACTGGATGAGTGCGATATCTAAGCCATCAGGCGCTTCAGCTAAATGGTGTGTCGCAGAGGCACCACAGGCCGTACGCAAACACTCCTGGAACTAAGCTGTAGTGGAAGACTGCCTTAGAATTGCGTTGCGCTTCTCAAGGGCTCAATGGCAATGACTTTGCAGTAGGCGCTGCGCGTGTGCCCAAGAATCCCACGCCTGGGGCTGAAGGCCATTCGAGCACAAGCACTCCAAACAAAAAGCAGCGCCTGCGCCGCACGCCTGGCCGCAACTGCAGCCTTCACCTCCATCTTTTTCCTGACCTGCCCCCCGGAAGGAAGATAACACGGCACGTCGGCCATGGAGCTGTGCCCGGAAACAAGGCCGCGGCAGAAATTACAAAGAGCAGCAAAACTGAAATGGTGAAAACGCGAAAACTCAGCGACAAATAGTCGCTCCTCCGGGTCCATGGAGGACAACACATTCCCCATCGCTCCCGCTTGCAGTGATCCAAAACTGCTGACACATATGAAGCGTGGCCAACGCAACACCCCCTCCTGTCAAGGGTACTCTGGCCTCAACAAGTGATTGAGATGAACTATAGCACGCGTCTTGTTTCGCAGACATGTGGCAGAGCACCAGACCTAACACGTTGCGCTCAGTCCTGCGCCTGGCACTGTTGGCCCTTCACAACGGCCGCTGAGAACATCCAACTGTTGTCGTTGTTGCATAACACTCAGGTGTTGGTCTCTGGTGTCTCTGCTCGCGTGGCATTACGGGCCCTGTACACGTGAGGCTGAGCTCGGGTGTGTCCCGGCTAAAATCCCCTTCTGATTTGTGATTTCGTCAGTGTGGGAAACTCCAAGCTGCGCTTGGCAAGGTGGATGAAAAGCAGCACCAGTTGAGCCAGAGTTGACCATGTTGGGCAAACTGCCCATGGCGCGGCGCCGCGCGTCTGCAACACGGCTGCGCTGGGTGGTCTTCGCAGGCCCTTTCTTGGCAGAGCGACCCGCGCCCCACACAAGCAAAATGGTGTCCACCGCCCAATATGTGTGGAGCAAAACGTCCGCCCTCGCGCCCCGCAACAAGCTATTTCCGGAACACAAGGACCGGTCTCGAGTGGCCGCGCGTTCGTGCTTCCGTGGCTCTTTCTTTCATCTTCTTTTTGTTTGAGGGACGCGGGCTTGAGACCATCGCAGGGCAAAGGAGGCAAACGGGCGGGACAATTAAGTTGCGACGCGCTCTGAAATATCTTGGCACCGGTTGAACCCAACTGATCATGTGAAACCAGTCGTCAGTCGGACATCTCTGAGCCACCCTGAACCGGTTGAAGCCTGTTCAAGCTGGCTCAGTTCTATGTGGTTCGGAGGCTTTGACCATGCAGAAAAATCCCTGTCGTGTGTTCGTCAGAAGCATCTTGTTGATCGTGCTTGACGCGCTCGGAGGGCGCTATCCTGTAGTCACAAATGACCCTTGTCTCATCGCCCAGGACTGGCTTGTGCGCAAGCGCTTTCTTGAGTCGAAGTGCAAGATTCAGTCCATGTTTCGCACTGACCGGAGTGAAGGTTGTGGATCCGATTGAACGGACGCGACGTGGTTGTGGAGATGATCAGTGAGCAAGCGACAGATGTTCCCAGTAGGAAAACGAACGCTCAAGAAGCAATCCGGAAAGTCCAGGTTCAGATGAGGATGCTGAAGAATTAAACCCACGCATTCCAACAAGTGACTCTCGGCAATCCCAGATAAGACGATACCTTGACGCATATGACACAAAAGGCTCACAAAAGCACAGGGCCTTATAGTAACAACGATACCGACCCTATTTTGATGAAGCGCGCTTGCGCTAGCAGATTTGCTTCAAGACCGGCTCATGCTCTGTTCCACGAGATCTTGGAAGAGCGCCGATCCCTGCATCAAAGGTGAAGAGCTCACTCCCGTCGGCGCTGAACCTTTTAAGTCTGAGAAGCTCCTCCACACAGCCGTCCAGTGTGTCATTGCGTTACTGAGACACATCCGCACTTTGTCTTCGCGCCTGATTCAGAGACAAGGCAGCAAGCCGCCGTTTGTCTGGGCTCCGTTCGACAGACTTTGGAGACGAACCTGGAGCAGCAACTTTGACTCCGATGGAAACGACAAAGATTGCCAAGAACATAGAAGAAGATAGGGCACCCGGGGTTACCTTGGCTCTTTTGGAGAGCGGAGCGAGTCACGACCCGTGTCTTGCACATGACCAGTGTTTTGGCAAGACCCAAACACACTATTGGTGGTGATCTTTGAACCGGCGTTCAATGTTTCTTGAGAAGAACAGCCAGATGGTTCCACCTCGTTGAGTTTCAGCCGGAAGCGCGTCCTGCCAGAAAAGAGCCAACAGGCAAGGTCTGTCTCTCACCGTCGCCTCCGAACAAACAGATCCTCCATCAGTTCAATCGCCAAGATGACAGACCCTCGCGACATCTCCTTCACGGCCCTTGAAACACAAGCTCTGCAGGCCACGGCGCCTACTGATGATCAAGGATTCGGTTGATGGCAGCGTGTTCATCGTGCTTGCATGCGTCACTGTCTCAAACCAACAGGCGTGCTGCTTTTTCTCTCCCAAGAGACCAGCGCAATGCTCATCATCGCAGCAACGCCTGGCAATAAGCTGAAGCTCAAGATGGACAAGATGAGAACTCCTACAACACAAGAATCGGCCCCAGACGAACACATCCCACTTGCAGTTTCGTCGACAAATGGGATTCCCTGCGCGAACGCATGCTTGATGAAGAAGCTTCTGCGCAACGAGCAGCTCATTCACCAAGGGCTACTTCAACCACAGGGGCAGAGCGCGCAGAAGAAAAAAACGAGTTATATCTTCCAGCAGCGCCAACCCGATCAGCTGTGGACTCTGGGTAGTTCAAGACACCCGTCGCACAGAGCGTCACCTTCATGCTGACCAACCAGCGCGTATATGAGCAAGGCCAAAGAGGACCATGGGCAGAACTATTGAGACTTCCACAAGGTGTCAGAGATCTGACAAGCGCGGCAATACTGTCCACACACCCGCAACAAGTCCGCCGGAGAACTGAAGAGACGTCGCAAGACCTCCACACTCAAGGACAGACAAGTGCTTGGATCCAACCGCACCCCCAAGAGTCTCGCAGAAGCCAGCTCCAGAAAAGCCAAGGCTCCGGGAAGCTTCCGCGACGCTTCCGGAAACACGAAAAGTTCCGAAAAAAACGGGATCAACGGCGGCCAACAAAAATGGAAAAACTTGATTTGAGTTCCCGAGCAGAACTAGAGCTCCCGGGACTGAGTTTGAAAGAACGGGGCAGAGGCACGGCCGGGGCAATTCGGGCAGACCAGCGGATGGCTACTGGCAGGCTCATCCCCGAAAGCTGCGACGCTTCCGGAAAGCTTGCGGGCAATCCCGCGTTGTCGCAGAAGATTAACGCGGGGGATGCGTCTCCACTTGACACGCAACGGATGTACCCGGCGCGGCCGGGGTACGCCAGCGCCATCCACAAGCTGCAAGGGGCTTGGGAACCCTCTGGTATCAAATCTGGAAATGAGTGCGAGACACTCATTGTTGCCTCTCCGACGGTTGCGGAAGCTGAGGCGTCTGTGGCGAGGAAGAACTTTCTGCTCACGTTCTTGAAATAATTGACTTGCTCTTGGTCCGGGCCCTTGCTCTTCTTGTAGTTTCGCCACGCAGCGCGTAATAACCTCTCCGCTTAGCCAGCTCTTCAGAAGGGGCCCTGTTTATCACTGGCGCAACGGTCAGGTCTCCTCATATCTATCTCCGCAATGCGAGGACAGCCACACGTGCGGAGAAATACACTTCTCTGGCAATGGCTCAATTGGTGAAAACAATGGCACGATTGTCAATGTCACGCAGAAGCAGGACACAACACAATTCTTCGTGACTTATGACACGACCCGTTAATTGTCACCCGACAGACATAGGCACACCCGACATATAGCCACAAAGCGCTCAGGCAGGCTGAGCGCGCCCGGCGGCATGAAAGATCCTTTGAGCAAATAGCTAAACTTGCAGCACAGGTGACAAAAAGTGCAAAGCAATGAGCAGTGACAAAAAGCGCAAGGCGAATTCTGAATTGAAAGCTTTGCAGCCGCGGTTGCTCTATTGGCAGCCTGCTGCACGCCATTGAAGCCACAAATTCGTGGCAAAGCTAACCTGGGCTAGTGAGCGACTTGAACTCACACCCACGAAGCCACGTAATTGCAAAATCAAGAAGTCAAGCGCGCGCAGATCTGACATTTGCCGCCCAGCTTCGCTTGATGTTGTGCATTGCTTTCAGACCTGACACTCGCATGTCGGGTCTGCAGGCAAGCCAGCGCTCGCGCGAGCGAATGAGCTTCCCGCAAACAATTTGCCCGATTCGGAAAAGCACAAACCAGGCCCCCAGAACACCTGGCGAAGGGCAGCTCGGCCAAAGCTTTCGAAAAACAGACATGTGCTACGAGAAGTTGGTCTCCAGTTTGGCAGGCCCCAAGCCCACCAAAATCGTTTGCAACACCCAGGAAAGACGTACACAAGTGCAAAAAATGCGCTAGCCGCTGCTTGCAACATAACGCACTGAAGCTCGCCAACACCCTCAACTGGTAAAGGCTCTTCACTCGCCAACAGCTTCTGATCGTGGGCAGGCACGTCTGCAACTTCAGGGTGCCTACGGCTGCTCCCAGGGAGCTCTGGTACCCGAACTGGTCCACCTGCAAACGTCGCAAGTCAAAACCTGTCCACACTTCGCTCTGTTTAAGTGTCGAGCGATGATCATCAGTTCTATGCTCTCAGTCTGCTTCTGAATGCTGTAAACCATCTCCTGCAAAGGATCACTGAATGGCAGAGAATACTTTGTCTTGCGTCTGCGCTTTCATTCCCCTCCTTCCCGACGGCGCCTCTTGCCAAGGATTCTTTTCGATCCCAACAAAGATTTTGCCCGAACGCGTAGCAAAGTGTTCCCGTTGTTGAGGGGCCTGGGAGTAAGGACGTTCGCCGGCGCGGCCACAAGCGTTCGCGAGCGTCCGCAAGCGTTCCCAAGCGTTCGAAATTTCCAGCAAACGTCTGCGGCAAAAGTTCCCGCACGGTTGGGGCTCCTGTGAACCGCGAAGTCTGATGATTCTTGCAGCGCTGCTACGCCATTGCTATTTGCGTTTCCGGGGTGGTCGCTTTGACGCGTCCTGAGTGTTAATTTTGTTGGCCCTGTCGCGCATTTGGCTCGTTTTGGCACGCCTGGAACTTCGCAAACCAATCGAAATCAGTCTGGCGCCGCAGCCCCCTGCTGGTTTTGGACGTGCGTTGGAGACGTGTCAATGTTGGATTCTGTGACAGGCGCAGTGCGTTGGAGGATTCTGCGTTCGTGGCAAGCTCACTTTGCGTGACAGGCGCAGCGCTTTAGATGGTTTTGCTCAAACTTCGTGGCACTTGTCTAAGCCTTTGGTGGCAGGAGCAGCACAGAGCGCTGCGATCAAAATTCTCATTGCAGGCGCAGCGCGTTGGGTGGTCGCGTGCGTTGAAAGCCGTGGTGAGCGCAATACTTTGCAGCACGTCTCGCTGGGGCGCTGATTTAGGTGCCAGGGTCAAGTCAAAGTAAACTAGATAGGAGACGCGTCGCTGCACCCTTCTGACAGGTCCGTCTGCAAATGGAAAATGTGCTTGAGCTGGCTTCGTTCAGACTCTTCTGAATTTACTCATTCTTCTCTTTCTCAATTGGCTCATTACTTTCCGAAGTTATTGGGTTTCTATGTTTTCTGCTTGTTCAGCATTTGCGCAAGTCTTCTGCGTTGTTTCGTTCAATCAGATTTCGGAGTTTGTTCCGCTTTGTATGAACTTGTCCACAATGTTTCTGAACTCTCCAAATGGAAATACTTGCTTGGGCAAGGTTCACATTTTGCTGAATTTGTTCACAGAAACGAAAGTTGCAATCAAAACTTTTCAGCTCCAGCCAGTTTGCCTTCAGCAGCCACTTCCTCAGCCAGCCCCCTTCAGTTCCAGCCAGCTCGCCTTCTGCTTCAAAACCACTCCCTTCAACTTCAAGCCCCCCCTTCAACTTCCTCTGTGTTGACACCCTTACTTTGCTGCTTGTCTGCTAACAAACACATATTCTTGATGCTCGTAAATTCTCAAAAAAGTTGGAAACACTTTTTGTGACTGTTTGCGTCGCCCGAATGAGGGGGCGCCCGCAAATTAAGGCGTCCCCTGAGCCTGTCAGTTCAACTTTTCAGTGCACGTGCGGCGCACGCTGACTGCGCTTCCCCACGTAGAAAATGCTTGCCAACAGCATGAGATTCCACACGAGAAGTCACTTGTATTCACACAGGCTGCACTGCCGGACCTCCGCTCAAAAAAGGGCTTGAAAAAATTGGCAGTCCAAGGTTGTCAGCAATTGCCCAAATCTCACAATTTCCCGCATGAAACTCGGAACCCGATCTCTTTTATATGAAAGGGCGCCAAGAAAAGGTTCAACTCTTCAGTACAAGTGCGGCGCGCGTAGAACACTTTCTCCCCCCTAGATGCAAATTGCAATTGTTCAGTGCAAGCTACGCGAAGCACGATTTCCCCGCGCCAGCTCGACAAATGAACCTTTCCAGCACCAGCGCTGTAAGCCATGGCGCCAGTGCAAGATGTCCTCTTGGGGCTTAAACACCTGCGGTTCAAGGGTCCAGCTAGAAAAACTCTACTTGGCCGCACCCCTGCGGCCGCATTGTTTCTTGGGGTTCGCAAAGCTTTCTACACTCCTGCAGTCCATGCGCCCGATTACTACCCTGTTCGATGGACGGTGTTGCCTCTTGCTGAAATGAGAAATGTGGACTGTGTATCCCGACATCGCAAAAATGTCCGTCTGCTCAGTTGCATGACAGTATCAGCTGGAAATCTGTACTGGAAGTCGAAGGCGAAGTCTTGGCAGGGCTGACTTTTGCATTGGCAACACTAGCTAAGTTCTGGATGCAGATTCCAGAGCCAAACTGAAATTCAAAGGTTCCACCGCACATGTTTAAGGCAGCTATTGCCAACATATTCCGACGTTAGTGGCGCCCGTTTTTGGGAGTTCTCGCAAGTTTTTCGCGGCGCGGTTTCTGACATTTGGTTTATTGCCGAAATCTTGCGTTCATTGTTTTTGCATTTACTCGCAATTCTTTGGAGATTCCATCTGGACATGGTTGCTGACATGTTTGGTTTGTTTCGCGGGTCGCTAACATCTTTAGAGGTTTCTTTGTGGAACTTCCATGCGGGCATGGCTGCTGACATGTTCTTGCTTTGTGTTTTCGGGTTTCTTTGGAACGTTGTATTTGCTTCGCTGTTTCTTGTGAATTGCTGGTGTGCTCGGGAAGCCCGCGTAGAGGCCAGCCGGCTCCGTGAAGGCAGTCTGCGACTCTGAGAACCGCGACCTCTTCAATTGTGCGGGACGGATTGTTGCTGCCACCGCTGATCAACCGTTGGTAAAGTCGGGGCTGCGGGAGACAACGATCTTCGGACGCCGGCGCCAATAGTTCGACGCAGATCAGGGTTTCCTGGTTGTAAAGGGGCCAATCAAACTTGCTTGAGCAGCTCCCGCCATTCCAGACCTTTCCCCTCGCCCAAGCTCCGTGTTGCGGCAAATGACACACACCACTCCGCGGGCGCTCCTGCTAGCTCACGTTCCCGGAGTGTTACTGCTAAATGATCAAGCGCTGTACTTTGTCACTCCCTACGTCGCTTGTTCGCTTCCTTGCTTGCGGTTAGCTTCAAGTTGTTATCGGGCTGGTTTGGGGTTGGTTAAGTTTGAGTTTTGAGTTGGACTGGGGCGGGTTTAAGGGTTGTGTTTTTCTTGTCGCTTTAGAGTTGCTTTCGGGCTGGTATAGGAGGGTCGGGTTTGCTTTTTGGGGTCAGCTTAGGGGTTGGCTTCGGTTTTGGGTTCGCTCTCTCAACCCCGCCTACTAGACTCTGACTGCAACGCATGTTCAAAGGATTGCCTGCTACTCCGTGTCTTACAGTCTTCAACATCCAGTGAGTGGTACAGGAGTGACAGGCATACCTGCGCGGCCCATCAAGCAGGACGCAAACAGCGATCTGCACACTGAAAAATGCACTTATAAAGTGGAGAAAAGTTGGATTTTGAATTTTGATTCTATCGCAACCTGCGCTGTCCTCCAACGTGTGAGACACCGGCGACATTTCCAACGCCCACACCTTATGTGGCAACACCATGCCATTCCCAAAGCTGCGACCCTAGTAATTTGCCCAATGTCGTGCGAGTCTCGGCAAAAAATACATGTTTCTCCAAGATGAGGGAGAACAAATTGGGCGCCCCCTTCTGCCTAAGTGAGGCGCCATGAAATCTGGCACGGAGGCCCTCGAGACTGTGAAGCCATTGAATATCATCGCGAGCCTGTCGCGGCGCTCAAGTGACGCATTGAAGCGCCTGTCGTTCTCAGAAAATGCTGAGGCGCCGGCATCAAAAAGGGCACCAACAAGATTTGTGCAGCACTGGAGTCTTTGGCTGCGGCGGCCACAAACATGTACACGCTGTCCTTCCGGCACTCAGCTCACACTGTCGCTGAAACCGCGTCTCGCATCAATTCTTGATGGGGCCCCCGCGCGTGGAAGGGAAGATTGGGCAGGCGCGGGCCCGGTTTTGGCAGCAAGTTTCGGGCTACCAATCCAGCCCAAAAACTTGCGCAACCACGCCTTGAAGAAGCCCAGAAGCTACTGCAAAAACCCCCCGCGCACCTCGCCCCAAGCCAACCAACACCCTCATTATATAAGACCTCGGCAAGCCCGACACTCACTCGAAACCAACCCCGAGCAATTCGGAACTGCCACCAAATCAAAGTCAATAGGCAGCCCTAGTCCGAGCGAGGCCGGTGATGCTGGGGATAACCAACCCGACCCCACTAGGCGTTCAGAGAATACCGTCTGTTGCCCCCAACCGAGAGCGAAACAAGGTTCCCAGCAACTCTTTAAGACCCGCATGAGAAAGGCCTGGCGCTGAGTCGTGGCTAGAAAAAGGCTGGGGGCTAGTTAAAAAACGCCTCAACCGTTTTGACAATGCTTGTTTAGTACGACTGAGACTGAATATTTGATATGCTTTACTTCTTATGGAATTGACTGTTGCTGCCTCGCAGTTATTATGTTCTAGAGTCTCGTTGTAATAGTTGTAGGATATTTCTTTCATTTCTTCACTGTGTATTCTGAAACAGTATGACTTGAGTTTCAACGCTAGCTATTTTTTACCATCGCATTAATCCTTAAAACGTCCGAGTTTCCTTTCAAATGTTTTATCATAACATTTATGTTCAACAGCACAGCCATTAACACCCAAAACCCTTTATGGCATTTTCAAAATCATGATAACTATCTTCGGTTTAAGGGTGAATGACCGAACTGCCTGTGTCTGTGTATAACCTTACATGTTCATTATACATTTTTCAAAGTATCATAATAGAAGGGATACATATGATGTTTCAGCAATTTCTGACATACACATTCCTGCGTAAACAATTTTATTCAGTTTCACTACACTTTATACCCTATAAGGGTTTAATTAACGAGCAAAGTCAATAAGCTTCCTTACATATTGCATCGTTTTTCGTAAACCGCATGGCTCATTATCTTATACACATCTTTCTCAAAATCGCGTGAAGCATCCTTTCGCTTCTCCACTTTATCTTCGTACTTTTGAATCCCTGTTTCAAATACAAGTGTGACATAATCTTGTTTCCCCATATCATTTAGTATTAGTTTGTTTGGTTTCTCATCTTTTTGGCCATTGCTAAAACGATACGCTTTGTAAATATCCTGTTGAACATCACTTAGCATGTCTGCTGTCACATTCATATGACTGGCGCTAATGGATTATCAATATGTTTATCGTGGCATTCTTTCGGATATCCTAAACCAACCTCAAAATATACCCTTTGTTGCTGTAATCCCTGTTGAAAAATATTATCTTTCAGATTCACTAGTATTGTTCAGAAGTTTTTACACATTGCTAACTAATCCATAAAGGTTATCAGCGCCGAGGTATGGGACATAAGAAGATGGTTGAGACTTGTCATAATCTTCACCCATATTTTGTCGTTAGCAATTGCTTCTTGAACCATTCCACCCCCCAACCCTTTCTCTAAAGATCTTCATCGTGTTAAAGCTCAAGTTGAACCTCGCTTTTTACAAATCGTGATACTCACCAAGAGTTTTAATGATAACATGCTTCCATATCAGTTGCGCCCTTTTGTAGGCAGCATCGCGTATATCTTCTTCAGTTAACCTACTGTCAAAATGTTTCTTTTCTTGTCGTTCAGTTTCATTAAACTTGTTGAAGTCATTACAAGAATCAGAAGGTTAAACTCCCTTTGCTGACAGTGACAACAAATCTTTTTCATTCTGATGCACTTGCCTTCTTGACTGTGTTTGCATTGCTTTTCCCACTCGGGGCTTCGTTTATTGGTTCGCGAAGCGAGTGCGTCGGTCGTGCCGGAAGCACTCCCGTATGTAGTTAATTTCACCAACTTTTCTGACGATGCTAAGAAACTGAAACTGCCCTTAAGTCCAAGCCTGTTACATGAAAATGCAAAGAAACTTCTCAGCGTTCTGTGCTATAATTGACACGCGTTCTTTCTTTGTGATTGACTTTTCAAGGTTAGAAATTATCAGGCGGGCGTCGTAGTGTTTGAGATTATGAAAGAAAACGGGGATGTGATACTTTCAAAGCAGTAGTCAATGTTACTTTTCACCCGCGCCGCTCCTCTGTGTTGTCCTGTAAAATGACAATGGTCTGCAACCTTCCTTTTTCGCTTCTACTTTGCTGCTGAAAGCTCCGTTCTGCAGGAAACACTTCTTTCGGCTCTACATGCTCAATTTCATCTAGATCAGACTTGATCATATCTTTGGATGTTTTCGCCTGTTCCATTACACGTCTCTAATACTGCTGAAATGCTTCGCAAAACTTATCTGCTCCACCTCTATACAAATATGGCTTCGTTTCTCCACTACAAGCATTAACAAGGTGAAGCATATAACCGCTGGATTGTGATTTTGTTACGTCCCTTTTTCTACCCTCTGATGTTTCTGTTGACAAACATTCAAAATCACCGTAATTAACAAATTTCGCTTTCAGTTTCTTTGAACCAGTTTTCAACATTCATTGTTGTTCCTTCTTCTGGCAATGCTGCGTGTTGAATTTCATTTGCCACACAACCTTTTATTGAATGAGAATTGAAAAAGTTTGGTTGATTTGTAAGCATGCCTTCAGTATTTACAAATGAACATGCTTATTTGTTGTTTTGTTGGTTTGACTTCCCATCAAACTGCTGTAATGATTGCTTAAAACATAATGTTTACTAGTTTGTATTTCAGTTCGTAGATTGGTATGACAAGATGGTCTTCCAATGATGGTCTGGTTTTCATCTTCAACATAAGCATTAACTGGAGTTGAGCTTTGGTAAATGGTTTCAAATTTGTCAGTGTCATCATTGGATGCAGGATAATGTACACCATCCCCATTTAATTAGACTTTCATTAGTCAGTGCTTTCTTGTAGTGTCTCATATATTGTGGACGGTCTTTCTTGAAGACTTCATAATTATTACATAGCACTTCGATCACAACTCATCTTCGTTTTGTTTGTTGGCCCACGCCTTTTTTGATTGAAGCCCATTCTGGTAGTTCCGTATATTTTCCTGCTCTGCTTGGATTGTATGTGTCGTGGTGGATTGTTTGTGAGTTCTGAATTTCCAAGTTCTCTTCAATGCTGTAGATGTGTCTGATGGTTTGGCTCCTGCTTCAGTCCTGTATTTTTGGATTGCGCTCATGACCCTCGTTGTGTTTGGCTTGGTTTTAAAGGAGTTGAAATCGTTTGAATCCCTGCGTGGCGCTAACTTGGTTGAGTTTGGTTTGAAGTGTTGTTGAAGGGGGTGTGTCTTTGCTGCAATAATGTTCATTGTTGTTTATGATGAGCTTGTTTCGTCGCTTATTACTCTTCCCCAGTTTTATGTTTGCTTCAGTATTGGAAGTTAGATGGCTTACAATGTAACTTGCTTCTAAACCCCCTGCGTTGTACTATACAAGGTGATATTTCTTTAAGCCCTTTTAGGTGGGAGTTTGGTTGGTGGGTCTGGATTTTGTGGGTTTGGGTTCGATGTGGAAACATGGGTTTGGGGATGAGCTGTGTAGAACTACGGGCATCGTTGTGTAGAACTAGGGGGCGTCGTTGTGTAGAACGAAGGGGTGTAGTTGCGTACAACTACGGGGGTGGAATTTGTGTTGCTTCATCCTTGTAGCAACGCTGATGATCAAGTTGTTCATATTATTATCTTACAATACGATTAAAACATTCTAATAAGACTTGAGAATGACATGCTTTTAGACTGTTCACAAATGAAAACTGCAAACATTTTTGAGAAATACTCTTGAAAATAGACTTCGAAATATAGCTTGAAATTGTCTAAACAAAAGGTTCATTTATAGAATAGAGATCTCTGTCACCGTAGAAGATATCAGGAAATGTTCAACTTGTGACGCCAAGGAACCTTAACTGACTTTAATGAAGACAATGATAATAATGTTGTAAAAGATGTCTTCAAAAGCGAAGAGACTGAAGAAACCGTAAAACTATTTTTAAAAATTACACCAGCCTCGACCCCAAACAGCAAAAAGGCATGACAAGTCTGTATAACCCAACAAAAGGCTTGTCTCCTTCATGTAAGGTGCGAAATTGAGTAGCTTATGTGAGCAACACATAGTTACAATCAGTCCATGTATGTCCCTGCAGGAAGTCCCCTTTTTTGGGAAGAGGACACATCGGGTCCATCCATCTCCTTGACGCCGGGTAAAAGCATCGATGTTGTTCATCGACTTCGAGGAGAAAATTCCATGTCAATGCCATGTTCGAGAGTGAAAGCCCCGGGGATTCGGGGTGAGTCAACCTAACACCTGGCATTAATCAAAGGAAGTTTCGACGGAACTTTCGGACACTCATGGCACTTTTCCATCACCGCAGCATTTGGTGGCCGTCTCGCTACTCTGCTGAAACTTGCGCATCAGCCTCAGCAGCTTGCGGCCGAGACTGGACACATGCCACTTTTGGTTGCTATCTTCTTCTCGAGATCGGTTAAAGGTCTTGCCACAAGCAAAGCAAGAGAGCACTTGCATAAGCTTGCAGCGGGACATCCTCGCCTAGCAACGCAGACACACGCCGCGCCAAATTGGCAAGCGTCAGCAAAGGTCCCCGTTTGGCGCGCACCTCTGTCACCCGGCACAGCTCCGCAAAATCCTCAGTGTTTGAGCCGGCAGCTTGGCCATCCAGGGCCTTCATCTCTGTCCATGCTCTGCTGATGCGCCACAAGGATGCAAACCGGTCACTTGGCCAAGGGGCACCCAAGGGGCTGGGCTCTGCTGGTGCGGCAAACCAGTCAGTTAAGGCCACTTGGCTCGAGGATGAAAACCAGTCAATTACGGCCACTTGGCTGGGCTCTGCTGATGCGCCACAAGGATGCAAACCAGTTAAGTTAAGGCCTCCGCAAGAATGCAAACGG